GCCGTGCCTTGCCACGTGCGGCCATGTTTTGCGTGGGCCGCAGGGCCTCGGCGCGTGAGCGTCGTCCCTCTCCTCGCTTCTCCGGTGGCGGGCACGGCCATTGCCACGCTGCCAGAGTGGCACACACGACAAAGCGAGGCGTGGATGATAGTAGCAAGTCTCCAAATTAGAGGTTTCATGTGGGAATGCCAGGGATAAAACAGCACCGCCTCACAACACACAGCGATCCAGCTGCGGATCGAGGCGCAAGCATCTCTGTGGGCGTTGCAGCGTGCAAGTGGATGCGCTGAGGCGCAGGAGGTATGTTTAGACTAAACTCTTCGAGGGAAGAGCTTTACCTTCTGAATGTTTTGTAAAGAGACTAGCCTATTTTAGAGGCTAAACGAAAAATAAATATTGTGGTACTGGAGAGGCCATGCATGCGTTTGATTTCTCTCTTGCAAATTCAATAGCGGGAATGGACTAGAAGGGAGGGGAAAGGGCCACCAGGAAACAACACAAAAATCAAGCTAAGTGAGAGTCACTTTTTAAGTCACCATTTGACAAACCTTAAAAAGTATCGATGGCCTCCACGGTTTATACTGAGGGAAATGTGCCTTGCTGTGTCTTAGTCTGCACAGGGTTTTTTGGCAGGGGCTGAAGTGTTTTGCTCTATTTGTAGATGTAAGGTAAGGAAACAAACAGGTCCCTCAGGTATTGGTTAAATTCAGGACCTCTGGTGGGGGAAGAACCAAGATCAAATCTGTAGGAAATGTTATGCTTAATACAGTGGTGTTAAAGGCTTTTAAACTACTCTTAATTTAGCATTTGACCCAAGAGACGTTTCCAGGATGGAGACAGCAGTTCTAATGCATCCAGATGGTTTCGCTTTGAGAGGGAGTGAAGAGCTCTGGCTTTTTCTCTGGCAGCCTTGTATGTGAAAAGTGTTAACGGTTAACGTGAAATGTAGGTGCAGTATTAGCTATACATGGGTTTAGATATATGGAAATAGAGGCCTACCCAAAACCAGGTCCTGATGAACTCATCACACGCTGAGGATTGCTGACTGATGGGCAGAAACTGAAACACAGAGCAGTAATGGTTTCAGAGCATTTCAAATGCTCCTTACTTGTGTGGGTTTTTTCTTTATAAAAGCAGTAGCTGTTTTATGTTTTCTTTGCATAAGTTTGTGTCACATTTTCACCTTCTGATTTGATTTGTTTGTGGCTAACGTAGTATTAGATTTTCTTCTTTTTTGAAGAAAAGTAAGAACAAGGAAGTGTTTGAACACTGCAGTGAAGATCATGAAGAGCCTGAACTGACCAGAGCATTTGTCAAAATGAGACAGGGACATATTTATATATTACTACAGCAGCATGATACTTTTGTAGGCAATATTTTTTGTAACTTGTAATGACTTCTTCAAATATGTATTTTCTTTCTCATCTGCAGTCATGATAGCTGCAAATGATGTTATGCAACTTGTGTTACTATAACCAGTTAAAGGCACATCTACTCTTTAATCCATTGAGTTTTTATGAAGACTTTCATTTTAAAAGTGGATTTTTATGTTTGTGGACATTGGCACTACCAGCAAATGCAATTGGCTTCTGGAGTTATTTGTCAGCAAAATGTTTCCATTTTAAGGTTGGAATGAATGGATTTTAGTAGGAGACGGAGAACAGTCACTCTTTTCGTCCAGAAAAGACCTCAAAAACGTTTTGCCCACTTAGGCTGTCTCAACATTTATTTTTCAAAAATGTTTACTTATCTGCTAGCATATTACAGCCATCTTTGAGGGTGCAGACTCATCTACATTAGAGAACTCCTCCATCACTGTGGTTGTGTTTGCTAATTTGGTATAGTCTGGTTAAATCAGTGTGACTACTTTGTCCATAAGAGGCCTGTGCTAATATACTTAGTTTTCATTTCATTTCTCATTTGTTAAATCTTGGCAGTACTATCATTGCAAACTTCATAGCAGACTATAATCCTCCTGAAACATAGGAGCAGTGCTTGCTTTTGAGTAATTTACGTTTTGAGTTTGATGCTCCCTCTCTTCTCGGACTTTAAGCTTAGAGCCATTGCTGCTGCCTTCCTGATCACACGTTTAGTTTTATTACAGTGGTGTCCAAAGTGGCCATTATAGTTAATTGTACTTTTTCTGTCTTCGAAGATGATTGAACCTATCCCCCAAAATGCCTGTGGGCTGGAATTATGTAATTTTCTGTGTAGAAGTAACAAACCCTTGGAAATCCCATATACGACAACCCTTGAATTAGACGCAGAAGCAATCCACTCCTCTGGAGTTGGAACAACTGTTCCAAATCTAGCAATAATGATTTCCTTCTAGAAATTGTTCTTTACACGCATTTGGTGGGGAACTGCTGAAACCTTGTCATTATTCCGGAAGCAGCCTATGTGTTAAAACACGTAACTCTCAAGCAGAACACAGGGAGAGCATCTCTTGCCTCCCTGGCTGAAAATTCATAGCAGACAGTAGCGCACAGCGTTGCATCTACCTGCTGGAGGGAACACACGAGGCTTATGCAAAGACATTATCTTCCTCATAACGCGCTATGGCCGGTGTGTTGGTATTTGGTAGCGTTTCTTAAGGGGGAGGTTTGACCAACCTGCTGGATTTCCAGTTTGTCAAATACATTCATGTCATTCATTGGAACTTGTTTAGAAGTAGTGTTGCTTAATGTGATATCGCTCCTCTACCCCTTTTATATAGTTTGTGAGTTAGTGTTTCAAAAATACTAATGCTAATCTAAAATTAATCAGCATTTTTTTTAAAAAAAAACAATCCAGGCTACAGTACCACTGTAAACTTAGACGGTCTGGGCTATGCACTCCAGCAACTTTTGCATCCTTTAGAAAGGAAAAGCTCCTTTTTAAGCAGAAGCAAATGCTAAGCAGCACACATCCCAGCTGGTGCTCTTTAACCCAAGTGTTTAGCTAGAGATGGGTTTGCATTGTTGTGAGTAGGCCATTTGCATCAGGTTCATAGTGCTTCTATTCATTGTGTGCAGGAGGATCAAGACAGGTGGAAAAAGGAGGAGGAGTGGTGAAAGTTGAATGAGAGAGATACCCAGAAGCCAAACTTCTTTTCTTTTATTTTGCATTTTATTTGATGAAATAGACTGTTGTATCTTTTGTGCTCCTGTGAATACATGCCCATCTGCTCTAGCATGCTCGGAGTTACTCCTGGTGCCTGTTCAGCTGTTGGCATGTTCAGCACAACTGAAATTCTCCATCAGCTGCCCCATCCGCCTCCAAAGACAAATAAAGGTCAAGCTAAATTTCAAAAGCAGCTAGGCTTGCAACTGTCATTCAGATCTTGAACTTGATGAAGCCTTCATGCTCTTTGCTATAAAAGCCAGTTTAATTTTAGTGCTTTTTAAATTTTACTGGTACTTGGGAATTGTGGTGGACCTTCAAATTCTGCCAGCAGCTGGTTTGATTTAGCTTAGCTTTAAAAAGTAACTGTCTAAGGAGTCTTTTGGATCGGTTCTTCCTTAAAGTGATTGCTGCAGTGGAGTGTGGCTCAAAAAGATAAGTTCCTAGCAAAATGAGAAGGAAAAATTTATAAATGAGTTGAAAGCTTTTATTGAAGTTATATAAGCATATTTACAGAAATACCTGAACTCTTGTGGTTATTGCTGTGAAACATTTATTAAAGGAAACTTAGGGTGATGTTCAAACTCAACTATTTAGCACTCTGGTTAAGATTCAGATCTTTTGAAGTATATCTAATGTTTAGGATGTGTTGGGATTCTTCTTATTAGGTGTATTGAAAATGCTGATGCAGCTAAGAAAAGCAGGGAGGTTTTAGTTATTTTAAAAATCAGTACATTGTATTACACTTGAGGATAGAAATGAATAGCAAATGAGAATCGGCCGAGGGCTTGATTTTTACGCCATTGGAATCTATGGGAGTTCTGTTGTTGATTTCCATGGGAAGCAGGGTAATCCATCAGCTGGGATCCATGATCACATCTGCTGAAAACTGAAAGATATCTTTTATTTTCAGACTGGGAGCCTGCAATTAGAGTTGGTGTGCTGGATTGTGGGGAAGAAGAGAACTATGAGACGTGCAAAGAATATGGTATTCACTATTACCCAACTTTTAGGGTAAGTGGCATAATATGTTGCCTTAGGTAAATGATGCGTGCTTTATGGTAACTAAAACCATAACAAACATGCTTGTGCAGTGCTACATGTAACTCGTTGTTCTTTAGCTGGACTTTTACTTTGCTTTTGCTGAGAAAACTGCAGTTGATAAAAGATTAATTCGAGTTCTTCTTGCTGAATGCAATAGCTGATGCAGTTACTTACAGCAGTAATTCAGTCCTCAGTTCTGAAGCTGAAAAAATCTAATTGAAAGATGATACCATGCTAGAAAGTACGATGTTATTACATTTGTATAACACCTAGTTTTAATATATTTGTTAGATAATAACAATTTGTATAAATATTTTTCAAATTCAAATGTTCATGATTATTAATAGTGTTTTTAGTTTTGGTACCTGAAAGTAAAGGTAATACGTTGAAATTGCACCATGAAATCAGCTCATTTCATGACCAATTAAAAATTTACCCCGGGTTGATCCTTCACTATTTTTCTAATGATTTTCATAATTTGCTTAAACTGGCTTTTAAAAGGGATCTTGTGTTTGCCGAAACTATTTACCGTTGTTCATTTTCAGGTTTAAGTGCAATTTTTAACTTCTCTTTCTTTGTCAATCTGTATAATCACATTATTAACCTTTAGAGAGAGTGATGGATGGAGAGGATTGAATAAACTGTGTTTGTTATGACAGGAAAGGGAACAGGAGACGTTTCACTGTAGAATTTGTGATGTTCTACCCTGATAGAAAGAAAAATATTTCTTTTTTTAGTCTTTAAAGTTTTGGGTGTAAATGGGAATGCACTCTTTATTAGACACCGAATCTTTTCTATTTTATTTTCCATAGCAGAAGGCAGTCAAGCTCCATTATATATCCTGTTTAACCACTGGAGGGAGTTGAGAAAATATGAATAGTGTTCTAAGTTGGTAGTACTGATTTGGTAATCAGTTAATTTGTGTTTGGGTTAATGTTTGCAGTAACGGATTGATATACAGTATTGAATTATGCATTATGGTATTTGTTGGCTTTATTGTATATCAAGAGTTTCGATGGGTACATGTGAGCTACCCTCATAGTTGATAAGCAGGTCTTGGAACTCATAGGCTAAGAGGGAAAACTGTCTTCTGAACCAATAGATGAAAATGTTTTGTAATTAGATCTGTAAAAGGTAAAAACTCTTGAAAGCCATTTTTATTTCTAAACTGAGCTTTTGTCTGATACAGTGATTTATTTTCAAAGCAATAATACTTTTTTTTTCTGCCACATAGTACTTCAAAGCATTTACAAAGCAGTTTACTACTGGAGAAAATTACAAAGGTAAGAATATCCTGCTGTAAGAAATCCCCAAAGCAGTTATTCTATCAGCCAGGAACATGTCACACAATAAGCAAAATCCCTTTGCCCGCCAGTTAGTTTAGACAGCTAGAGATGGGATGGACACTAAATAGCTCTTCAAGATGTGATACTACAAGTACTGTATAAAAATGGAACACCAGGCAAAATTTTAGGCAGGCAAAACATTTGTTCAACAACTTAGGGCTCACATTCCTTATTTTTTTGAAATTTAGTTCTTAATCTTCACAAATGGCTAAATAATTTTTTTAAATTCCTTCTTTCCACCACATACCTCATCAACATGAGATCCAGTTTGCTCAGTCCTGACTCTGGTGCTTTTTGATCTGTCAGCCACTTTCCAGGCACCCTGAATCTCACTGGGACAACCCCTATTCAGATGTTGACTAACTGAAAACAGGCTTATCCTGTTCGTCTGACAGGATCACAGCTTGAGGTGGTTTGTCTGGGGACAAAAGTAATGTTGTCTTTTTTAATGGATTAACATTTAGAAGGCCAGAGGTCAGAAGAGAGACCACCTGCACCATTAACCCTTCATGTAGAAGTAGATTGTAGTTGTACCTGCTACTTTTTGGCATTTGTGAGAGTTTTTTTAATTTATTTCTTTTAAAGCAAATAAAATATTCTCACACTTCAGTTATTTCCTCATATTGTTACCTGGCTTTGTAACCTCACCTGGCCCATTTGGTGAGAATGGTACGCCACAGAATCACAGAATGGCAGGGATTGGAAGGCACCTCGGGAGATCACCCAGTCCAACCCTCCTGCTCAAGCAGGGTCACCCAGAGCAGGTTGCACAGGACATCGTCCATGCAGGCTTTGAATATCTCCAAATAAGGAGGCTCCCCAACCCCCCTGGGCAGCCTGTTCCAGTGCTCTGTCACCCTCAAAGTAAAGAACCTTTGCGGTTTTTAATGCATGATGAATATCCTTACTGCAAAAACACTACTGAAGTTGCCCACACCAACTATTGTGCAAATGAGCACAGATATAGAATGAAGCATTGTTTGAAGAGAAAATCAGCAAGGCAGGCAGATGGTTAGATTTGGAAAAGTCTTGAGGTTTTATTAATTTTGGGGTGGGATGACAGCTTTTAAATATGATCTCATCTCAACATTAAAATCAAATCCTACAACTAAATCCTTAGTCCTTGTTCTTCAGCCAAATAGTATCCTGGTTTTTAAGTCCAAATTTAAAACAAAAGCCTGACACAGAAAAGCATGTGTTTGTATGAAAACCTGCACGTGAGCAATTTTTCCCAGTTTTCTGAAGTGTTGTATTTTTTTTGTAACCTGTACTCAGCAGGAGCAGATCGAGAGCTGCAAACAGTTCGTCAGATGATGATTGACTTCTTACAGAACCATTCCCAAGAGTTGAGACCGCCTGCTTGCCCACCATTGGATCCAGTTTCGTAAGTTCGTTGTTTAAAATACAGCTGGTGTATGCTTACTAAGTTAATTAAATAAAATGTAAAAGGTCCTATTAAAGATGCAGTAAGCTTTTTTCCTTTGTATTGGTTCCTCTACAAATTGTAAAAGGAAATTCCATCAATAACAGTAGGTGCGTTGCGTTCTACCTGTGCTAAATAGCTTTTCTTTTCTTAAAAGGTCCAGTGATATTACTTCTCTTTTTGACAAGAACGGCCGTCATTATACTGCCATTGTGTTTGAAAGTAATAGCTCCTATGTTGGACGAGAGGTAACGTATGACTTATGAATGATATAATGAATATGAATGAACGTTATCATAACACAGCTGGATTTTATGTTATTTAGCCAAGCAACAGAATTTCTGATCGTAGGACTGAATTAAAGGGTTATAAAGGGCAGGTCTTGCATATTTGAGGTATCACGTCAAGGGATTATGCTACAGGGCTGTTGTATTTAGTCACACAGAGGAGCTTGCCTACAAATGAATGTGATGTCACATGAACTTCCATTCACGTTTTAGCGGAAGATTAATTTATCACTTTCATTGTTGGCACAATTCTTTTTTCTTTCAAGATTTGGAAGATCACCACAGAAGTATTGTCAGGTTATGTTATTGTATTATTACTGTTAGAGAACCATTCATAATATTCATTCCCTGGGCAGCTGTTTATAATAATCTAAATTCTCTGGTTCTTCTTCACATATAGGTTTTAGGAAATTGCATTCTAAATTAAGATGATAGCATAAAACTATTTTCACAGCTCTGAGGCACTGAGGAAGTGGAAGTCTTTGGTTTTTTGCTTCCCCCACCCCCCCAATAAAATATTTGATTTGGCATCATTTCACCACCTAATGGGCCTGCTGTTAGCTTAGACAACTGTTACTTTTCTCTTCCTGCCAAGATTTAGGATAAGTAAAGAAAATAAATTGCATAATTATCTAGGCATAATCTGTGTAGAAATATCCAATGTCTGTGAAATGTTTCTAATTAGATTTGGTGCTGAGGTGGCCCAGTTGCATAAGTGGAGGAGAGCGCGCTGCCAAAAGTGAGAATCGCTTTGAGAAGCAGGCTGCTTCCAGGCGTTTGTTTTCTGGAAGCTGCTGTGTTGATACAAGTGGGCATTACTGAAGAGAAGAAATGTGGTGATTATGAAGTTCTTCAGCTTTTTATCACACTCGCTTTAATTTTATTACCTGCT